TAACCAAAAATCGGTTACCGACTTTTAATCAGTTCAGTTTCGGTTTCGCATGTCAGTGTTACCGAACATATTCGGTTTCACATGTTAGTGTTACCGAACATATCAGTTCGGTATCGATTTTCCCTTATCGGTTCAGTAACCAGCCCTAATGATTACTACAGTTGTATAGTTGTGATTCACCGGAATGCAGACTATTCCGAACCAGGGAAAAACAACTAAATTAACACAATCAAAAGTGCTTTGGAGAACCAAGGAAACACAACACAACAGGCAACACATATAAGACCAAGTAATACCTGAAGTCACAAAAGTCATGAAATTATGAATTACAAACTCATCAAAACCCAAATCCAAGAGCCATCGAACTCCAGTAATATCTCAAAACAAAACACTTGCAATTTATAGATAACAAAACGTAACCCTTTTTTTTTCAAAAAAGAAAAACAAAAGGGCATGACAAGATCACCAACGAGCACGCCGAACAAAAATATAAAACCACAAACACCAAAAAAATGGAACTAGTTAGCCCTAGGAGCCGCCCATTCGACCCTGAGGATGAGATTATCATAACCATAGCCATTGAGCTTGTTGATGGCTCTCTCAGCATCCTCCCGGTTGACAAAGTTGACGAAGCCGAAACCCCTGCTCATCCCTGTCTTCTGGTCAATCGCCACATAGACTCGGCTCACGGCACCAAAAGGCCGGAACAGCTCGTGCAGGTCGGGCTCCCTTGTGTCCTCTGAGAGGTTCGTCACCCTGACAGAGTTCTCCTCATTTCTCCGCCTCATGTCGCTGCCCCCCCTCTCCGTGCCGCCACCACCACCTCTCATGCTGGGTGGCACATAAGCTCCCTTTCCTCCAGCACCGGCCGATGTGCCGCCAGCTTCTGCCGCCGGTTTATCGGTGAAGGTGTCCGTTGGCTGAGCAAGGTCCTTGTAGGGGCATCTCGAGGTCCAATGATCCCCTTTCTTTCCACACGCCCTGCAAACCATGAGAACAGCTCCTCCTTTGGTCATTTGAGCTAGCGGATCCCCTGCAGCCTTGACTTCCTCTTGTTTAGTGCCTGATAATTGAGGTCCAATAATCGTGAGGTAAGAAAAGATGTGTGCTTTACATAAATAAACTTGACATATGGGGAAAAACAAACATGCAGGCTGCCAAGTCATTTTAAAAATAAGTGCTCTAAATGGTTGAATTTTGCAGGGGGGGTGGGGGGGTGGGGTTCACCGTATATGTGACTTACGATTCAAACCAAACAAATAAAAAGGTA